AAAAGTTGTGTCAAAGGTTCGTAAATCAGTAATGCTGTCATTTTTAAAATTTTCGTAGGCAATCTGTCTGAACCACAAGCTTTATTAGCGTCTAAGCTGTTCAGGGTTCGAAGGACTTCACCAGGGGTGATGTCAATGCTGCTGAGAGTGGGTACTGGTTCAGTGTTTCTTGCTGTGTATGTTTGAAGCTGTGCAATGTGTGCGTTTGTGATGTCAAGTTGTGTTTGTGAGGCAAAGTATGTATTCAGCATGGTGGCTTTGTCAGTGTCAGTTGTCGCTGTTGTGCCATCGTGTTGTATGAGTGTCGGTATGGAATGGTTTTGTTTATGACCTGTTATGTCTCTTAAAATTTTATGATATTTGTGAGGGTCGTGTTTGTTCTGAAGTAGAAGTGATACTTTATTTTTTAAATGTTCGTCGTAAAGTTGTCTATTCAAATTTGTCACGAAGTTGCGTTGGGTTTTCCATTTTGCCCACGCTTGTTTGTCGGTTTTTCGTTTTCGGGCAGCATTAAATAAACGTTCACGTTTCCTAATTTCCTTCAGAAGTTCTGGTGTCACCCAAGGTTTGTCATGTCTTCGTTTGCTTTGTTTTATCGGTATGCACTCTTTGGCTGCGTCAATTATACGGTTAGTAAAATCAGTCGCTGCGTCATCAGTGTCCTTGTTAAGAATTGTTGTCCAGTCTGTTTGTTGTAAAATGTGTGTTAATTTATCGGCGTCTGTATTTGCATAGTCCCAGTACTCGGTTACATATTTGTCATCATTCCTTTCTCCCTGGATTGATAGCGTCACAAATACAGGAAAGTGGTCAAGTGTTGAAAATGAAGAGAGAAGTCCGCTATCAATGATAAATTTAGTATTGGATGTAAAAAAGAGGTCTCGTAGGTTGTATGTGTCATTTTCAATACGCGTAGGTTGGTCGATGAGTTGCGTTAGTCCAATGGTGTCAGTTGCGTCTCTTAATTTTCGGTCGAAAGCTGTCAGTCCACTATGTTGATAGGTATCTGGAGGGAGGAATAGGTTGCCAACATTTAAGTCGCCTGTCAATAATACATTTGGGGAGTAGAGATGTGCACGAGTCACACTGTCGGTTAGTCTGTCTATAAACTCTTCTTGTCGATGTGCTGGAATATTGGGTGGGAGATAGATTGAGCACAGTAAAAATGTAGAGTCTTTTGTTTTTATTTTTATCCAAATCCATTCTTCACCAGGCAATTCGAGTGAGGAAATTCTGGAAAATGTAAGTGAGCTGTGAATGTATACTGCCGTGCCTCCTCCGTGTCTGTCTCTGTGTCTTGTAATGGGTGGATGAAAATTGTCAATAGTATAAAGGTTCGGGTTAATTGAGGGATGAGGGATAGGAGCCACAGGTCTGGAACCTTCGACTGAGGTTAGATATTGACCCGAGGAATCGATTGCGACCATTATTTTGGCGATCAGACGAAGCCTTGGGGCACTTTTGACGCGCCCCGTACTTTAAGGGACGATTAAGGGATGAGGGATAGGAGCCACAGGTCTGGAACCTTCGACTGAGGTTAGATATTGACCCGAGGAATCGATTGCGACCATTATTTTGGCGATCAGACGAAGCCTTGGGGCACTTTTGACGCGCCCCGTCCTTTAAGGGACGATTAAGGGATGAGGGATAGGAGCCACAGGTCTGGAACCTTCGACTGAGGTTAGATATTGACCCGAGGAATCGATTGCGACCATTATTTTGGCGATCAGACGAAGCCTTGGGGCACTTTTGACGCGCCCCGTCCTTTAAGGGACGATTAAGGGATGAGGGATAGGAGCCACAGGTCTGGAACCTTCGACTGAGGTTAGATATTGACCCGAGGAATCGATTGCGACCATTATTTTGGCGATCAGACGAAGCCTTGGGGCACTTTTGACGCGCCCCGTCCTTTAAGGGACGATTAAGGGATGAGGGATAGGAGCCACAGGTCTGGAACCTTCGACTGAGGTTAGATATTGACCCGAGGAATCGATTGCGACCATTATTTTGGCGATCAGACGAAGCCTTGGGGCACTTTTGACGCGCCCCGTCCTTTAAGGGACGATTAAGGGATGAGGGATAGGAGCCACAGGTCTGGAACCTTCGACTGAGGTTAGATATTGACCCGAGGAATCGATTGCGACCATTATTTTGGCGATCAGACGAAGCCTTGGGGCACTTTTGACGCGCCCCGTCCTTTAAGGGACGATTAAGGGATGAGGGATAGGAGCCACAGGTCTGGAACCTTCGACTGAGGTTAGATATTGACCCGAGGAATCGATTGCGACCATTATTTTGGCGATCAGACGAAGCCTTGGGGCACTTTTGACGCGCCCCGTCCTTTAAGGGACGGTTAAGGGATGAGGGATAGGAGCCACAGGTCTGGAACCTTCGACTGAGGTTAGATATTGACCCGAGGAATCGATTGCGACCATTATTTTGGCGATCAGACGAAGCCTTGGGGCACTTTTGACGCGCCCCGTCCTTTAAGGGACGATTAAGGGATGAGGGATAGGAGCCACAGGTCTGGAACCTTCGACTGAGGTTAGATATTGACCCGAGGAATCGATTGCGACCATTATTTTGGCGATCAGACGAAGCCTTGGGGCACTTTTGACGCGCCCCGTCCTTTAAGGGACGGTTAAGGGATGAGGGATAGGAGCCACAGGTCTGGAACCTTCGACTGAGGTTAGATATTGACCCGAGGAATCGATTGCGACCATTATTTTGGCGATCAGACGAAGCCTTGGGGCACTTTTGACGCGCCCCGTACTTTAAGGGACGATTAAGGGATGAGGGATAGGAGCCACAGGCCTGGAACCTTCGACTGAGGTTAGATATTGACCCGAGGAATCGATTGCGACCATTATTTTGGCGATCAGACGAAGCCTTGGGGCACTTTTGACGCGCCCCGTCCTTTAAGGGACGATTAAGGGATGAGGGATAGGAGCCACAGGTCTGGAAGCTTCGACTGAGGTTAGATATTGACCCGAGGAATCGATTGCGACCATTATTTTGGCGATCAGACGAAGCCTTGGGGCACTTTTGACGCGCCCCGTCCTTTAAGGGACGATTAAGGGATGAGGGATAGGAGCCACAGGTCTGGAACCTTCGACTGAGGTTAGATATTGACCCGAGGAATCGATTGCGACCATTATTTTGGCGATCAGACGAAGCCTTGGGGCACTTTTGACGCGCCCCGTCCTTTAAGGGACGATTAAGGGATGAGGGATAGGAGCCACAGGTCTGGAACCTTCGACTGAGGTTAGATATTGACCCGAGGAATCGATTGCGACCATTATTTTGGCGATCAGACGAAGCCTTGGGGCACTTTTGACGCGCCCCGTCCTTTAAGGGACGATTAAGGGATGAGGGATAGGAGCCACAGGTCTGGAACCTTCGACTGAGGTTAGATATTGACCCGAGGAATCGATTGCGACCATTATTTTGGCGATCAGACGAAGCCTTGGGGCACTTTTGACGCGCCCCGTCCTTTAAGGGACGATTAAGGGATGAGGGATAGGAGCCACAGGTCTGGAACCTTCGACTGAGGTTAGATATTGACCCGAGGAATCGATTGCGACCATTATTTTGGCGATCAGACGAAGCCTTGGGGCACTTTTGACGCGCCCCGTCCTTTAAGGGACGATTAAGGGATGAAGGATAGGAGACACAGGTCTGGAAGCTTCGACTGAGGTTAGATATTGACCCGAGGAATCGATTGCGACCATTATTTTGGCGATCAGACGAAGCCTTGGGGCACTTTTGACGCGCCCCGTCCTTTAAGGGACGATTAAGGGATGAGGGATAGGAGCCACAGGTCTGGAAGCTTCGACTGAGGTTAGATATTGACCCGAGGAATCGATTGCGACCATTATTTTGGCGATCAGACGAAGCCTTGGGGCACTTTTGACGCGCCCCGTCCTTTAAGGGACGATTAAGGGATGAGGGATAGGAGCCACAGGTCTGGAACCTTCGACTGAGGTTAGATATTGACCCGAGGAATCGATTGCGACCATTATTTTGGCGATCAGACGAAGCCTTGGGGCACTTTTGACGCGCCCCGTCCTTTAAGGGACGATTAAGGGATGAGAGATAGGAGCCACAGGTCTGGAACCTTCGACTGAGGTTAGATATTGACCCGAGGAATCGATTGCGACCATTATTTTGGCGATCAGACGAAGCCTTGGGGCACTTTTGACGCGCCCCGTCCTTTAAGGGACGATTAAGGGATGAGGGATAGGAGCCACAGGTCTGGAACCTTCGACTGAGGTTAGATATTGACCCGAGGAATCGATTGCGACCATTATTTTGGCGATCAGACGAAGCCTTGGGGCACTTTTGACGCGCCCCGTCCTTTAAGGGACGATTAAGGGATGAGGGATAGGAGCCACAGGTCTGGAACCTTCGACTGAGGTTAGATATTGACCCGAGGAATCGATTGCGACCATTATTTTGGCGATCAGACGAAGCCTTGGGGCACTTTTGACGCGCCCCGTCCTTTAAGGGACGATTAAGGGATGAAGGAAGGGAGCTAGGGCAAAATAAATGTCATATTCGTGTTCCCCGTCCCCCAATTGACCTGATGGCACTTTTTGAAGCGATTCTGAATCCGACGCTGTATTCGTTGCTGTTGCTGACGCTAACTTCACGGACATCACGTGCCGGGCCGTGGGGTAGGATCGAGCAGAGTTAGGGTACACACTTGCTATGATAAAATATGCTAATGCATGGGCGATGGCTGCTACACACTCACAGGGCAATACATATGTGGAGGTTGGGCTTAGATGTGCGCACTATAAACATCAGCTCTGGCAGATCCATGGACAAGCTCATCTCAGATGCAAGATGAAAGTGATTTCGAAATGCTAATTACCATTCAACTGAAACGAACTTCTGATTCGCGAACAAATAATACATACATTTACTATTCCATCCACGTGGGTGACTCTGCTGATTTGCATGTCGCCGAAGTAGGAACCCGGTGAGGCAGGACTCACCTGATCTTGTTGTGACTGAGATCCAGGTAATTGATATTGGCGCCGTGCTGATCGGCCACGAAGTTTGATACATCGCGCAGCTCCCGGTAGGCCAGGCTGAGCGCCTTCTGGTCACCGCCCAGCGCCAGCTCGTGACGGAACTCCGTGGCGTCACCCATCTCTCGGCCACGCGGCACGGCGTCCTCTGACGGATCGGGCTGCAGCGACTGCAGGTGCAGCACCGTGGCGCTGGCACCGGCGGCCGCCAGCATGAACACTCGGTCCTCGGCGGTCTGCCTGTGCATGGCGATGGCGCACGCGGGGGCGGCGACGGCACCAAGCGCCGCCGAGGGCCCGGCGGCGACTGACGGCGGCTGGAGCGGCCGCCGTAAAGGCCGAGCGGCGAGCGGCGGCACGCGGGTACGTACAGCGCCTGGAGCTATCGGTTATATAACCGGCGCACTGCAGCCGACAGCCGACGCCGATCGGTTACTGGTTGGGACCAATGGAAGGGCGGCTCCAAAGCCTCTTGGCTCTTTTTTGTACCCGGCCTAAGCTATAGATGTTTGGCTTGCTCACCTTTTGGGCTCTGGCCGCCGGCTTACAAGTCAGATCACGCTCATTTGTGGTTTATACATTCGTGAATAGCTACCTGCCTACATTGAGGGTACCAAACATGTACTTTGATTTTCAGGCCAGGGTCAGGTCGAGGTCATCACAGGTCACGGAAATCTTATTATATCATGTGTCGGTTATGTGACACATGTGTTATGGTCCATTTAGGCCATAGATTTCAAATTCGGTGTCGCCTGTGTTTTTTGAGGCCATCTGCAGTTAAATATAGCTGAGGTCAGGTCACTTTCAGATCATAAAAGGTCAAATTTTCAAGTTGAAATTTTTCAACAAAAAAGTGTATCAGATGCAGTTTAAGCTCAGGAACACGATGGAGCTATTTATTTTGCTGTACCTACGATGTCAAATGCGTACTAAATAAATTGTTTTGAAAAATTTATAATAGTGAAATTTTTATTATAATGCGAATAACTTAGCTATTTTTGAAGATATCCGGCGAAAACTTGCTAGAGGCATGTGTTTTATCACATATATTCCGTTTTTTTCGAAATCCTACATCCAACGTTTTTTTCGAAAAGTCAAAAACTTTTTGAAAAAGATAAAGATACGTATAAATTTTTAATTTTTTAATATGAATACTTTTCAAAATTTTCAAAAATTTGAAAATCTGAGATGGCAGTTTGATAGCGCAGTCTATTTTGAGTCCTCTCATGCAAAGAAATTGGATCTAACTCACCAGTAAAGCGCCTTTTGGGGCGACTAACGGAGCGAGCGAGAGGGTGAGCCTTGCACGTGCGAAATTTCGAATTTTCGAGGGGGTACCTCCAACTGACTTGTGCACGGCACCCTACTAACCGGTCTCTAGCGATGTGCCAAATTTGAGCACAATCGGCCCAGCCGTTCTCGAGATCTGGAAGCGGCACCCTGCACGTGCGCACGTGCAAAATGGGTCCCAACTGACTTGTGCACGGCACCCTACTAACCGGTTGCTAACTGTGTACCAAATTTGAGCGCAATCGGTCGAGCCGTTCTCGAGATCTGAAAACGACCCCTGCACGTGCGCACGTGCAGCAGCACCCCAACTCTGGCACATGGACATGCAGTGCCTAGTGGGTGCCTACCTACATGCCAACTTTGAGCGCAATCGGCCAAGTAGTTACCGAGATATTGCAACAATTGCAAAACTGACACCTCTTCGTTTTGCACGTGGCACGTGCATAAGGGGTCACCCACATGCATCGGGAATAGTCCAATACTTGGTAGAAGGAATGAAGCTACCCTACAAAAATTACCGCATGTAAATCGGTCAAGTGGTTGCTGAGATATAAGCCTCGCAAAAGCGTCCGCACGGCCGGCCGGCCGGCCGGCCGCTCATACTCAGAAATTTCCGTTATTCTACGTAAGACTCCGCTCGCTTCGCTCGCTCCGTAATAAATTGAGCTCTTAGGAGCGATTCCCGTGGTTCAATATTTTGTGTCGAAATCGGCCGAAAATGACGTCACTCTGACGTCATTTTAGGCCGACCTATGGTATCTAATCTACGTAGTTAATAGTTTAACACAAGATGTCAAATTAATGCAGCCGAAGGTACTGAAAGTTTGGCGTCGATATGTCAAGTGGTTTAGAAGTTATTGCAGAAAAACAGGAGGTAGCTATGAATTTTGAATACTCCCCCCCCCCCCCAGTGGGGCGAAGGTTAAGGGGTCCAGAGTGGGCCAGGCGCTTCAAAAAAGCATAATTTAGTCGAATATCAGCTTCGGTGAAATTCCTTTAATTATGGCAAACAGTATTGTAAAAATGTCCAAAGTTTCCGAATAAGCAGGTTCTCTTTCCTCAATGTCAAGACAGGTAATGCTCTAGCGTCGCAATGTAGGAGTTCCCGGTTGGAGATGAAAATGACCGCTGTGTACCATATTCCGTTCCCCCGATTCGAAAGCTCTCAGCGAAAAATCAGTAAAGTTATTCCGTAGTCCGTACAAAATGGCTTTAAACAACAGCCGGCATTTCTGTGCAGTGTTTCTCGTGCTTAACCCGCGCCCGGCTGGGGGTCCTGGATTTCCACGCCCTGCTGGGGGGGGGGGGGGTCTGAACACCCCCCTTCTAACTCGGCTCCTGGGCCACGTAGCGATACGCGGAAGGCGGCGTTCGAAAGAGCGCCAAAAATAATGACGAAATCACTTCTGTCAATTTTTTGATCAGGTCAATGGTCAGGTCACCAGAGATCATTGAAGGCAAATTTTTGCCGATTTCCAGGTCGAATGTCGACAATTTCCAAGAAGCCAACGCATAGGGTAGACCGGGGCAAGTCGCCCCGCCGAGGTAAAACGCCTCACCGATGTTTCTCGGAACTGGCAGGGTTCTGGGGAAACATCATCTCTTCTATAAAACGTGCACTATATGATCATTATATGAGCAGACTGGAAAGAAATTGTGATGACTCTTTCGGGAGATATAGCCAAAAATGTGTTTTTTGAGTGATTTTTATGTTTTGTTGTCAGATTATGTATCATGGCGTTCTTTTATGGTCCACATGAGGTTAACGACTTTTATGTATTTTGAACAACTACACCTTTTTGCACTCAAAATAGGCATCTTTTCATTCAATTTCGGCGAATTGCATTCAATTTTAGCGATCTCTCATTTGCTTCGAATAGAGAGATCGCTAAAATTGAATGCAATTCGCCGAAATTGAATGAAAAGATGCCTATTTTGAGTGCAAAAAGGTGTATTGTCTAACGCTTATCATGCCGGGTTGGTTCGTGTCACGGAATATATAGTCTACGACATTCGACGACATTCGACATTCGACGACATTCGACGATTGTTAAAGGAAATAGTTCACTTTCACGAAATTATTTTTTTTGCAATGGATTTGTGATTTTTTATGTTCAAAATGATCAGCAAAGAAAATAAAACCTTTTTACAGCAAAAGATTATTTTCTATATTTTTGATATAGGAAGAACTTTTCAGTTTCTGTAAGGCACCGCGATCCAGTATGAAAAGAGCATGGGTCCCCGAAAATTCTTCAGAACTAGAAAAATTATCGCGGCCACCGGCATTTGGGCGATCTGCTCGTGCTTTTGTTACTGGAGCGCCTCACTGGAGCGAATTTCTCTAGAGTTCTCGTAGATAATTTCTCTAGTTTCTGAAGAATTTTCGGGACCCATGCTCGTTTCATACTGGATGCGAATATATGCAAGGCACACATCCTCAACGCAAGACACATTTTTCGGGACGAGAAATAGAATATCTTTGCCTAGGGTGATCGTTGGGCTGTAAAAGCTCCTGATTTATGCTCGTCTCAGCCCAAGCTACGGAACTGCTATTCCAGTTCAAAACCCATGTTAAAATGTGAACTATTTCCTTTAAGAAAAAATGTATAAAATGTCTAAAATGTTAAGAAAATATATGAAAATGTAAACCCACGTGGAAAGAAATTCATCCGCATCCTCCGCATCTCCGGATATTCATCCGGCAAAATTCTTGATTTTTGGTTACACACGTGGCAATGCTAATCGAAGCTCCTGTCCATTCCATGTCGTAGACTATATATTCCGTGTTCGTGTTAAATTATGTCTTGCTGGAGTGCAAGGCGTTGTTCTCTGACCGAACTACGTGATGGGGTAAAACGCCCCAGTAGGTCGCGGGGCAAAAAGCCCCTGGGGCGTTTTACCTCATGTGTTGTTCGGGCTACCCACTTCCTTATGTTCGGTAGCTGGCGAACAGTAAGTTTCTATGCCTTTATGTGTATTTTTCTCAGCAACTGGATGGCAAAGGAAGTATTTTGTTAACATTTCCATTACAATAATTTATTACTTGGTCTTATGAGGTAGGTGAAAAACCTGCTCATACAATAGTGTCATAGCTGAGCACCTGACAGGATGGAATGTGCTAACTTCAGTGCCGTGCCTCCAGAGGTCTAACGGACCTCTCACATAAGATTTAGCCAACTACCATGTTAAATCTTTAATCTTAAGTATGGGGCTACTTGCCCCAGGCCGTGGGGCGTTTTGCCCTGGGGTTGGGGCAAAATGCCCCATTTGCAGTTGCTTCACAAATCACTTCCTAGCTTGGAGTCCGATCATAAGTGAATCAATTTGAGGGGTGCAATTTAAAGTAAAATGTCCAAAGAACGCATTGAGCACAAATTTGGCCTTCCAGGTGATGTGGGACAAAAATTATGCAGCAAAATAAATTATCTGGGGCGTCTTGCCCCAGGCTACCCTACCTCGGGAACCAATAGAGCTACAGCGCCGCGGAAAAGCGCATTCGATGACCCTATTAACGCCCTTTCTGAGCAATTCCTCAGATTTGACCTAACGTCAACGGTGTTGCCTGCAGGGGGCAAAAACTGCAAAAAAAAACGATTTTTTCGGAAACAGTTTTTTGCAATAACTTTTGACCCAAGCCTTGTACGAGCTTACTTTTACCGGCATCGTGTTCCTCTCGTCAAGACGCATCGAATGAACTATAACTTGACCTTGAAAGGTCAACTTGAAAATTTGACCTCAGGTCAAGGTCATGACCTGACCGGAAAGGGTCATGTTGCATATCAGTCGATCCATATCGTCTAGCTGAGCACATCTAAGGCGTTTTCATCGCTCTAGCATGCCTCTATCAAAAGTTATTTGCGAAAAACTGTTAACCCTAGAACGCCTAGGGGGGTTGTATCAACCCCCCCCCCCCTGAGTTTTTTTTCGAAGTGCACGCTAAACGGCTTGTCGTAGCGGGCTGAAATTTTCAATACCCTCTGGGGCAACCTTTGCGCATCTTTTGCCGAAAAAAAAATTGATCGGGTCATGTCAGGTCACGGAGTTATGACGTCATAAGAGGTACAGCCTCTGGCCGACAGTTACCAAACGTGTGCGCTGAATCCCTAGGTTTTCTGCCGGTGATACCCACATTGTTTGATCATGATGAAACTTCCCATGCATGTTGGGGCAAGCATTGGCTATCGTGTGGTGCAAGAAAATTGACCGGGTCAGGTCAGGTCACGGAGCTATGACGTCACAAGAGGAACAGCGTCCGGTACTATTTTTGAAAAGCGCCCGAACCACTATTTTGCTAATTCTTGTCACCTCAATGGGAATATGCAGCAATATTAGCTTCTCTAGGGAGCAAATGGACCTCCCAAATCCAAAAATACAATCAGATTTCAAAAATTTAAATTTTGATTTTTCGAATTTCTGCCGCCGACTGTGACCTTGCCGACTTCCGGCGCTCCCAACGCGCCATTTTTAGAGCTAGGGAAACGAAATACATACCAAACGATAGAGAATTGATCAAGGAACACGATAGTGAAGGTTTCAAGTCGATATCTCCCACCGTTTTGCCGCAATCGCCGCGGAAAGTTGAAAAAGTTTGATTTTTTCGGAAAATTTGACCTTTGACCGGTCATAAGTAGGTCAAATGTTGACCTAGGACCAAAAAATATACCACCAATCGCGAGATCTCGTTGAGAGCAATCCGTTGGTTTTTTCCGCTAAGCTCTACGACCTTCCGTTTCGAAACGCCAGGGGGGGGGTCGTAACAACCCCCCCCCCCTGGTCGTTCGTGTTATGAGAAATGGCCTGGTCGTGCGAGGGTTAAATAGGTATCATTCGTGACCTAAGATGACCTCAGGGTATAAACAGGGGTCACAGACACCATTTTCATGTTCAGTGTGTCTAAACCACTTGTAATTCAGTGTTTGGGAGTGTTTATAATGTCTTTCGTCCAAAAGAGGCGCATTTCAATTTTTTCCCATTGACTTATAGGTAATGGGGAGGTCGCAAAATTGACCTGATCTTAGGTCATCGATATCAAAATTCTGAGATATACATTTTGTACATGCTATTGCTCTTAGCAATCGCTAAAAGTTTCAAAGCTATCGGTCACTCGGTGTAGCTATGGCAGTCGGCAGACATTGAAACTTTTTATGAGGTGAGGTCACTTCAAGTAACCTGGTGACCTGACCTTGAATGACCTTGATCTGAAATTTTCACAACATGTGTAGAATTGATGTATGATAAGGTGTACCAAAAACGGGGGCGCGGAGCGCCGCCGTGTTTGAGATATTCGCGAAAAACCACAATTGGGGTGTTCAAACACCCCCCTCAGCAGGGCGAGGGTTAAATTATCGGATTCGGAAACTATTTCATGTTTACCTGCTAGTAGCGGTGGGGTTTACAATGCCTGTTTGGAACCGTGGTAGTGCGACCAATGGCGCGGGAACCGGGGGGGGGGGAGGGCTAGCGATGCATAGGAATACCTCTCTGAATGTGTGACGTCAGCGCAGATATCTAACGATTTTTAAATGTTTGACTAAAACGTTTTGTAGCACGCGGTGGTATATGCTGCTTTGTGCGTAACAAATGCCGCACTTCAAATAAAGTCGCTAGGAACAGCGGAGATCCCAAAAAGTAAACAAAAGTAAAATTCTAATATCTTGAAAACCGGTGAATATTTTTCGATGAAATTACATAGATATTCGTTTTCGCTCTTTCTGAACCAAGCGACATCACTTTCATGCCAATTCATTAACTTTTTTGAAGGTGGGATGGTCCCGGTATTTTTGGTCTGCCTAAGATGGCTGCGCTCGCTAGACACCATTTTGGAGGCAGTCTCAGGTCTTGGTCTCAGGATCCCTGAGAAATTCTGTTCGATTACTTGCTGATGCTGTTCTAAGGGCCAAAATCACTAATTAAAAGCTGACATTACTGACAATGAAGGATTTCTCAGCGGAACTTCTTAGTAGAAGAACACTACTCCGACAAGTGCCAGAATCTCTCCAATGTGGTGTAATCGGTATATAGGGCCTTGGTGTAATCGCTTTGGCAATTCCCGTTTTTCACTTCAACTCGTGGTGTTAAGTTGGGTGTCTGCTGTGTCTGCTGATATAATTGCATTCTTGCGTTCAATCGTACTTTGCAAGACAATGTCTGCCAGAAAGGAAAGGAAGATGACATCTGGAGATGATGATTTGTGTGTTGTATGCTTCAAGGACATAACGATAAGGTGCATTATGGACTGTGAGCACACCATATGCTATGAGTGTTCAACAAGACTGCGTGTTCTCTGTGAAAAGTTGGAATGTCCAATATGTCGCCAGGAAACAACAATGGTAAGTACCTGTATGCTTTACATATTCTTTGATTTGTGCAAATTACGTCTGTTTTGGGCTCTGGCCCATGCAGCATGGATCTGTGCCATGTGCGTCATACTTGGGTGATGTGGGTTGCCCACTCTCCACCTGCACGCAGAGCTGAGTGCTGCTGCCGCATGTTCTGTGTGAGCTGAAACTGGCACTGGTGTATCGCCTGAAGTCAGTTGGGCAAACTAGACTTTTGGAATCAAAATATGGAGGCATCAATTATTTGATTCTGGTGGGAGGAGCCATGACCAAATATGGGCATGGAATCAATTTTTTTATTCATTTGGGTACACTTTTGACTTCAAACGAATCGTTACGCTTGAAAAAAGGCCCATGACGGTGAGATTTTTCTTTTAAAAGGTAGAAAAATGTGGTAGGTTTGCAAAAAGTGTTACCTCAAAGCTAAGAAATTGTCCCTTTGGCCTTGTGAATGGGAAAAAGACAGAGCCACTGTCCATCACGTAAAAGCTGTTTTGAGGAAATCACACTGTATGTTATTTTTGTATCATGAATCACATACCTACTAACCAATCAGTATTTGTGTAAAATGGCAAAATGAAATTTTTAAACCCCTAATTATCATTGTTGTAGTGCTTTTATATTATTTATATGGTTTTTACCTGTTGCTTCAGTTTTTGTATTCTTGACATTTAAAAATTGTGAATTGTTATCAAATGTAGTGAAGGTAAAGTACAACAATGCTATAGGTATCAGTTGTGGTGCTGAGGATACCACTAAATGAGAATAATAGCAAGATAAATGCTGTATTCTTGCAAGTCATTGTTGCCTATCTGTTAACATTACCTGTGAATCAAAATAATGATTAGCCAGCTGATGGGGAATCAATATTATGATTATCTGTGAATCAATTCCTTGATTGCCTTTCACTACCTATAGAATTCAAATTGTTATGATAGGAGCAATATTATTTTGCTTAGGAGATAGTTCAAGCATTTCTGTTCAAGATCAGGCATGCTCCTTCTTGAAACACTCTTATTTTTATGTGATTGGTAAGTTAGAAATGGTTTGCATTTATGCCCAAAAGGTTAAGGAATCAATCTTTTGATGCCTCCATATTTTGATTCCAAAGGTCTAGTTTGCCCCATTGTTTGCCCAACTGAAGTATTGCCCATTGGTGGCTGGTGTTTTTTTTGTTGTTTTGTTATAAAATGGTTAGATCAAAATGCAGTTGAATTGGTCCTGAAAAGATTTCAAGGATTTTTTTTTTGTACCAATTGTCACATTATTGGACATCCTTAATTCAAAATGATACCTACTGATTTGTCTTGCAAATTAAAGAAAGAACATAATCAAACCTGACCTAAACTTACCTAATACCTACTTATACCTACAATCTACAACTTACAATGTAACAGCATACAACCTACAAACTTACACTACAACCTAACCTAACCTAAAACCTAAAATTTCTGCTGTTGCATATTCATATCAACAGCATTACAATTGTGGTTTGGACTGTATCTTGACGGATACCATTAACTATGGTTAATAGCTAGGTGCCACTGAAAATAGTGAAAATGATACCCAATAAACAACATGCAACCTTTTTACATAAGAAATAAAGGGCAGTATTCTTAAAGGAAATAGTTCACTTTTAACATGGGGTTTGAGCTGGAATACCAAGCAGTTCTGTAGTTTGAGCAGCTGAGACTACCTTACCTTACCTTACCTTACTGTTGGCGGGACTTTGGGAGGCCAGAGGCCTTTTGGACCCGTTCTCATCGAGCTCTTTGAATCTCGGTTATTGCTCTAGCTTAAGTAGGTATGTCATAAATATGATCAGACCAGTGACTATCAAGCAGGTTCTTGAACTCGTTAGCAGAGGTCGCCGTCACGACGTGGGGGAGGCAGGGAGTTCCAGTCGTTTAGCGCCCGGACGCTCCAGTGGTTTCTCCGAGCTCTTGTCAGCGCTGTCGGTTTCGCTAGCTTCATGGAGTGACCTCTGGTGCTTGTAGAAGGAGCCGGCTGGAAGAAGTCGTCCTTTGCCAGGTTGAGGTGGTCGTTCATCAGCATGTACACCATGATGACGTCACCTCTGCGTCGTCTGTAGAGCAGGGATGGAGGCTTGAGTTTGCTGAGGCGCTCCTGATACGGAAGATGACGGATCTCCGCGACAAGCCGGGTAGCTCGGCGCTGTACTCGTTCCACAAGAAGCTGGTCTTCCTTGTTAAAGGGTCCCCAGACAATGTTCCCATACTCCAGGTGGGGGCGCACCAGCGTCTTGAAGAGAAGGGGTAACGTCTGAGTGTCCAGCAGCTCGAAGGAACGCCTGATGATCCCCAGGATCTGGTTTGCCTTCTTGATGGCCGTGGCAGCCTGCTTCCGAAACTTCAGCTGCTCGTCGACGATGACTCCCAGATCCTTCTCCTCCCCAACTTGTGCGACAGGGGCTCCAAGCAGGGAGTATTCGTGTCTGGGATTGCCGGACCCCAGATGCAGGACCTTACATTTCCTCTGATTAAAAGGCAGCAGCCAAGTCGTGGACCAGAGTTCGAGTCTTTCCAGGTCCAATTGCATCTGGGTGCGGCCCTGGGTTCCTTCCAGCCAAGGACTCGCATACAGTTTTGCGTCGTCCGCGAAGAGCTTGATATGGCATTTGACACAATCGGGGAGGTCGTTGACGAAGACAACGAAGAGAGTCGGGCCCAGGACCGAACCTTGAGGGATGCCGCTCCTTACTGAAACAGGAGCAGACCTGGCACCGTTCACGACTACTTGCTGACTGCGTCCGGTGAGGAAGGCCTCGATCCACTTCAGCAGATTCCCTCGAACCCCAAGGCCGCGCAGCTTCCGAAGTAGGCGCTGGTGGGGGACGGAGTCGAACGCCTTTCGGAAATCGAGGTAGGCGACGTCAACTGGCTCCTTATTCTCAATCAGCCGCGTCCAGTCCTCCAGGGATGACAGGAGTTGAGTAGCACATGATCTTTTCGGGAGAAAACCATGCTGAGCATCATTCAGCTGTCCCGTTTCGGTCAGGTGCTGAATAAGCCTGTCCCGGACAAATCCTTCAAGTATCTTTGACAAGACTGATGTCAGGCTGATTGGCCGGTAGTTTGTGGACTCCTGTCTGCTGCCACTCTTGTAGATAGGGACTACAGAGCCCTTCTTCCACTCGGATGGGAGCTCGCCGCTCTCCAGCGATTTCCCAAACAGCGAGCTGATGGGAGCACATAGTGGGATGGCCAGCTCACGAAGGACTCTCGAGGGGATCTCGTCGGGACCCGGGGAAGTTGACGTTTTGAGGTTGCGAAGCTTCCTCTCGACCATGTGAGGAGTTACCTCGACTCTCTCGAGGAGGGGACCTTCCCATTGAGATGTCAGGCCAGGAACGCTCGAGCAGTCTTCACTCACGAACACACTGGCAAAAGCCTCGGAGAGCACAGCCGCTTTCTCCTCATCAGAGCAGGCCAAGGAGCCATCAGGCTTCTTGAGGTCTTCGATCCCCGCCTTTGTCTTGGTCCGGGAGTTGACATATCGCCAGAAGGGCTTAACCCCTTCTTTGAGGTTGCTGACAAGCTGCCTTTCGAAGTCCCGCCTGAGTCTTCTTGTCAGACTGCGCAAGTCGTTGCGAACTCGAGTGAAGCGGGTGTGATCGGCCTCGGCATGTGTCCTGATGTAGCGCCTCCACAGTTTTGTTTTTCTATTCCTGAGTGTCAATGCCTCTCTTGTCATGTAGATACTTTTCTTCTTTCGGTGCTGTTTCAGCCTCGGGATGTGCTTGGTCATCGTCAGCTTCAGGGTGTCCGAGAAGAACTTGTAGTGATCCTCCAGGGGAGCTAGATCCATGCTCCTCCATGCAACACTCTGGAGGTCTCTGGCCATGCTCTCATACTCTCCCCTGTGAAGGTTGAGCCTGCTGTCTAGGGTGTCTCTCCTGGACGTATAGCAATGCAGGTTGAACCGCAGTATCTCGTGGTCACTGTTGCCTAGAGCAGGGAAGTGGGCTAGATTTGTGACCATGCCCTCCTCATTTGAAAATATCAGGTCAAGGGTGTGAGGAATAAATCCATGTCTGAAGCGAGTAGGCTGCCTCACATGCTGGAATAGGTAGGCATCCCGCACAGCCTCAAGAAATGTATGCGAGGGATGAGAGGGGGGTGCTGTAGACATGTTGCAGTTCCAGTCGATGGTGCCAAAATTGAAATCACCCATGATTAATAAGTGTGATGGCTTGGCGTTGCTGACTTCAACTAGTAGGTTGCAGAGGTGGCCCGTCAATGCAGCATCAGCTGATGGGCTTCGGTATATGCCGCCTAAGATCAATGCATCACTTCCAAGGAGCCTGATCTTGAGCCAAAGCTGCTCAGTGAAAACATTGCCAAAGAAAGATATTTCTGAGGCCTGAATACCTTTGGCAATGAACAAACATACACCACGAATACCACTAGACCCGAGATTTGGAGTTGAGGGATCAAAGTTGGTGTACTGGATGTATCCGAGAATGGCCAACTGAGCTGGAGCTATGGGAAGTGTCTGTGCCTTGGGGATGACCTCGGTGATACATATAACATCAGGCTGACTGCCCGCAATTTGCATACACAGCTCATCCCTTTTGTTGAGAAATTGGTCAGCATTAGTATAGAGAAAGCTGAGGCCAGCCTTCTCATCTCTTCTCCTGTCTTGAGACAGTCATGCAGCTTCCTCAGATTCAGATTCAGAGCTAGAAGGAACAACTGCAGGAACATCTACAGTTTCTGGGATGACCACCGAGGCCGTCCGAGCAGTTTGCGTTGGTCGGTTTGATGGGGCTGTGGCCTCACTGCCTCCCACACCCTGATTCTGTCGGGAGGTCCTGTCACCATGATTAGCCAAGGTTGTCTGCAAAGGTGTGGGGTGGTCACCGTTCATCGCGGCAGGTGGGTCTTGGACTTCAGGGGCTGCTGCCTCCCTTCGTGATCGACCAGCTCAATCCAACCTTCCCAAGAATAAGGGCGGTGTGGCCATATTGG